GTGGTTGTGTGCTGAGACCCAGCAGCAAACTCTCCTTTTGCAGGCAAAGTATCTTTGCAACTGGAGTTAGTGAGGTAAATTAGATGACCTATTTAGTTTTGCTGCTTTTTGCCTTTAAAGTAAAGGTCCTCCTCTACAGTGAACTTTGAAGGAACAGCAAAAAAAAGCTTTGAATGCAGATCAAGTGTTGTGATATGGGATAATGGACTCTGCCTCTGTGACACGAGCATGGCATTCTCAAGCTAAATAGGCTAAGCTTGGGAAATACAAATCAAAGAACTCAGTCCTCTCCATTTCTTTCTTTAATTCATTAAGATCACTGATTTTCTTTCACATAGTATGAAGAGACATTTTTTAAATTTTTGGGTGCAAAGGACCATTCAGGTAACTCTGTCATCTCATCTTGAATATCATTCCCAAAAGACTCCATGAAGTAGCATATCAAAGTCAAGTCCCTTCTAGTGCTGGAAGAAGTGCTTCTAGAAGTGCTTCTGTAACTCAGAGGAAAGGTTGTTTCCAAAGCCATTTCTTAATCAGACAAAAGTGGGAGATAGGTGTACCGCATCTTTTGAGTCTGAGGATATGAAAGCATGGGACACAGTTAACTCCAAGCAGTCTTGCAAAGTCACAGTTAAGTGTTCAGAAGTTTTTCTGGTTACTAAGTTTTCTTGGCATCTCAACATCTTGCAAGAAAAGATGATACAATTGTCACCCACTCCCTGGAACCCAAAGGTTCTTACACTTCTCTGATAGCTAAATCATGCCAAAGAGTTCACCCTGTTAACTCTAATCATGAAAAAAACTTGGATACTTCTACTACTGTGAGTCCAAGTTAGCTTCATGAAAATAGGCAGAAAAGCGTTCTGTCACTCTCTAGTGTATCCTTGAGCGGCCAGGGTGCTAGCCTCTTTCAGAAGTGTTGGCATCAGTATTTGATCATAAGGAATAATGTGCCTGTAGGGATAGTATGATCTGATATTAGATGATGCTTACTTTTAAATCAGCCTAATTTTAAGATAGTTATGCTAAAGGCAAGAAATAATTTTTTTTAAAAAGGTTAATATTTGCTTTTAGTTTACCAGGGTGCACACAACAAAAATGTAAGGAAAATGCAGTCTGGAGAACATCTGAAAAGAGTTTTGTTTCCTGTGCTTCTTCCTCTGTCATGGATGGTTATCCTACCTGAAAAGGTCAAGGCCTGTCCTTGTGTGTACCTGATGTCCAAGCTGCGTTGACAGAAGAAAACTTTAGGATGGAGAAACACAGATTTCATAAACCACCCTAGATTTTGAGTTTCCTTTGTGGTATCCCATTCCTGAGGCTGTCTTGTTCCTTCATTATAAGTTCCTACTTTTGACACTTTTATCTTTGGGCCATTAACAGCCTCAGATTCCCTTGGGTGATGGTAAGGATTCATGGTGTGGCCAGCTGCCAACCTCTCCTGACCAGACTGTCAATATAGTTAGTTAATAGCTGCCTCACTGCCAAGCCAAACCCTAGATAATTAACTCATTATGCTAGTGCCTGCTGAGCTGGGTCATTTTCCATTTCCGTCTAGAGTCTTTTTCATTCAATTAAATCTTGTATTCCTCATAAATCTATAAAATGAATTTGCAGTTTATATAACCATATACCTGGCATCAATATGTGCAGTTTGTTATAGGCTTTCATTTGATATTGGATATAATGCTGCATGACTGTTTCATGGTGATAGATGTCTTGTGATGACTGAGCCCCTGTTCCCATTTAGAGTGTTTTAGACAAAATGTTGCTAATAACAATAGTGCATGAAGTAGCCCATAGAATCCTGTTTTTTCCATATGAAGTTATTCAAAATTAAACTCCAATACAGGGTCAATTTTTTTAAAAAAGTACTTTAGAGTCTACCTTGAAGATGTCATTTTGTCTCTTTTGTTTTCACATGTATGCAAAGAATGCCTGCTGTGACTCATTCCAGTAGGTACAACTTCAGTGGTATACCACAGAGATATTTCTGTAGTTCAGTTTCATCAAGTTTGCAATGTGATGTCTGGTTTTTGACTTTACTTATTATCATGGTTTAACCCCAGCTGGCAACTAAGCACCACACAGCCACTCGCTTACTTCTCCCCAGTGGGATGGGGAGGAGAATCGGGGAAAAAAAAAAAGTAAAACTTGTGGATTGAGATAAGAACAGATTAATGACTAAAATAAATATTATATTAATAATAACCATAATGAAAAGGAATATTAGTATAACAAAAGGACTATAACAGAGAGAGAGAGAAATAAAACCCAAGGAAGACAAGTAATGCACAATGCAAGTGCTCACCACCTGCTGACCCATGCCCAAGCAGTGATCAGCCCCTGCCAGCCAACCCCCCTGGTTGATACTGAGCATGACGTTCTGTGGTATGGAATATCCCTCTGGCTAGTTCAGGTCAGCTGTCCTGGCCATGCTCCCTCCCAGCTTCTTGTGCACCTGCTGGCTGTAAGAGCATGGGAAACTGAAAAGTCCTTGATTTAGGATAAGCACTGCTTAGCAACAACTGAAACATCAGTGTGTTATTGACATTGTTCTCACGCTAAATCCAAAACACAGCACTGTACCAGCTATAGGAAGAAAATCGACTATCCGAGCCCAAACCAGGACACTAGTATGTAGCCTTTTAGGTGAGAAAAGGAGGAACCGTTTGGAGGAGTTCTGTAACTATCAACACCTTACCGCCATTATTGTGGGAATATGTGGAGATAATTCTGAGAAGCTGGAAGGATTTGTAACTGGAAATCGGTGATGAGAGGATCTTTCCAGAAACACTGCTGAGCTACTTTTCTGTCTTCCTCAGTGTTGCTTAACTTAGCTCAGGTATTCAAATGAAAAGACTATCTATATAGTGGAAATATTCCCTGACCATGTAATACCTGTGTTTCAAATAATCGTGACTATGAGCAGAACCACTGCTTATGGAAGAAGTGGTGTGTGCAATATACAGAGATTCTTCTCAAGAAATCCTAGGTTATGACTTCTGATTCTCAAGAATAACTTTCCTTACATTTAAAGTAAGGATTACGACAGTTATGGCATATGTCACATCTGAATTCAAACAGCTGCTGCTGATAGCCAAAACAGTGATACTTGAACAGAAATTGTTTTTTCAGAGATATATGTGAAATATTACTTACTACTGTTCCAAATTTCGTCAGACTTTATATATAAAGGAAGGAAAAGTTATGTCATTTGATAAAATGTTGTAAGCCTAACACGCAGTTTGAAATCTTACGGTTTTTTAAGAATTGTTGGGATTTGATGCTTTGATAAATGCTGTTCATAGTGATCTCTATTACTTCTTGTTATTTGTGAGAGTAAGGTATGCTTTTGAGCATGCAACACAAGGCTTCAGGTACTTATCCATGTGGAAATTGGTTCCATATTTGCTGATGGTAGGTCACACCATCTTTAGTCTTGTTAAATAATCTGTTCCACTTAATCATGTTTTCAAATATAAAAGATTATGGTTCCTAGGACATCCTAAGTGAACACTGTGCAAATGTGTATTATGTATGTAAAATACAATGATATCGAAGATAATTCTCTTGTTAGGAGTTTTCTTAATTTATATTAGAGTGATATGGAATAGATTAGCAGAGCATATGCATTTCATGAATGAGAGATTGAATGCTTCCACGATCTGACAACACAATCTTTTTTTTGTCCTTAAACTTTTTATGTATTAAGTTGCTGCAGGAAAGAGGCCTTGCAACTGTTGCCCACTTTTGCCTTATTAATGAAGACTTTTACATGACTAAAGATTTCTTTTTTTTTTTTTTTTTTTTTTTTAAATCTCTCCTCTGGAGCTGGAAGTAATGAAGATGTGACTAAGCATGTATTTGCAACTCAGTTACTTGACCTTTCTACAACCCACAGCTACCACTAATGCTGCTTTGTAATGGAGACATTATCGTTTATTTAAATCTTGATTAGGAAACAATTATAAGTAGGCTTTTAGTATAGCAGTAAATTGATGTAGCCTTTAATTCATACTATAGATTGAGTGGATAAGCTTTCTGACTGTAATTAGAGTGAATTATAATGACTTCAGTTGGTTGACTCACCACCAGCAGAGTAGGGCCTATGATTGTTTCTTCACATTTATTTTTTTAGTTCACTCTTAATTTTACATTGCTGCTAAATGCTATTTTTTTAACTTAGTACAAAATGGACATGCATTTACAGTTGAATGATACATATTTTGTATTAATAAAAGAGGAGCTTTATGAAATAACCTGACACCTTAGCAGCACTCTGCAGCTATGCTATTTGTTTACAATTCAAGTAACAGAACTGCTCTTAATAAAGGTGGAGATAGATATTCTCATGTGTAGTTTGACAGTGTACATGGGGAGCATTTCCTATTTTACATATAATTAAATGGCAGACACAAGTGATTATTTTCAGTACCACTTAGTGTTTATATATATTGTGAACGTTGCAAAATCTTTTTTCTTAGGTTTCTCAAATGTATTGTTTTCCTTATATGCTATCTCTCTGGTTTTTGTGGGTTTGTTTTGGGGTTTTTTTTGTTTATTTTGTCTTGTCTACAAATTTTCTTTAAAGATACCATATGTTGCTTAATTAAATGTAAGTGTAGGGACATCTCCTTTGAGTGATTTCCTTCTTTTGAAATACCTTGTAGAAACATACTAATCTACTTTATTTAATAGTGAACTATGTGTATTTAAGTTTTACATTAGGTATTAAACATACAGTGGAATCATAAAGGGTAAATCTTTCATTCTTTGTTGACCTTCCCTCCCTTGATGTACCAGATGTTTTGTACTTCAGGCATAGGACTGTTCTGTATGTCACAGTGCTCTGTAGGCACAGAATTAACTATGGCAAGTAGAGAGAAAAAAATGGCAAAAAAATAATGTACCAGGCATGCTAACTTTGTGTTTGTTTTTTTTTTGTTTTTTTTTTTTTTTTTTGTTGGTTGGTTGTGTTTTTTTATGTCAATCTGCAGTGGATGATTCAGAGCCCTTATAAAGCTGCAACTTTCTTTGGGTGCATTGGCAAAGATAAATTTGGAGAGATCTTAAAGAAGAAGGCTGAGGAAGCTCATGTGGATGCCCATTACTATGAGCAGAGTGAAGAACCAACAGGAACCTGTGCTGCCTGCATCACTAGTGATAACAGGTCAGGGGCCTTTGATGTTTTCTGAAGATATAAATGCAATTGGCATAGTGTGTGGAACCTAATTTGTTTGGAATATTTGGCCTTGAAAAATGGTAGTATTAGCACTGGTTTGAGACAATACAGGATTGGACTGCCTGGCTGAGTTTGGGGCTGGGCAATATTAGTGCACTTTTAGAGAACAGTAGTTGTAGTATGGCAGAAATGTGTGAAATAATAATTTACTACTTATTTCTGAACTTTATTGCTTCCAGTTGCTCTGGAGAGAGAAAATGTGTGGGAGAAAAAAGCTGGTTAACAAGTATGTTTATGCAGCCTATGTGAACGCAAATTGGCATGTAATGCACTTACTTGATTGGCAAATGAAGAATATACTTCAGGTAATAATGTGTTTAAAGAGGATAGGTGTCAGCATATAGCCTTATTGAAAGGGTTAATTTGATTTTATACAAGTGGAAGAAAAAAGTTTGGGGATTTTTTTGCTGTTGCAGTTGTTGAGAAGTCAGTCTAATAACTGTAATTCTGTATGTCTACATTTTAACAATTTCTTCTGAATTTTGTCTTTCATGTTTTCATTTGCTAGGTTTTTTTTAGATGGTATTTGCTATGTGAAAAAAATCACTTCTCCAGAACTCTATTCAACCTTTCTTATATTTGTAGACTATGAACAATGGTCTTTGTGGTATTTTGTATGGTTTTAGAGCATTCCATAAATAAGAACCCATTTATTGTAATTTATTTTGGGTGTTGTAATAAAATTAATAAACCCAAGAATTTCAGAAAGAGATAATGAAGACAATAGGCATTTATCTTGAGCATGATCGTTTGTTTTCTTCTTTCTCCCTCCACCCGCAACACTTGACCTTATGTACTACTGCTCTGCTGATTACCTCCTGACGATTTTTTTTAAAGGTTTCAAAACCAGCCAGTCAGGGCTGCTTTAATATTGAGATGTTGCCAGTACACACCAACCCTCCCTGATTTCTGCTAATACCTAAATTTTCTGATACTAGATGTTGAAACAATAATTAAAATCATATCAATTACCCTGAAGAATATTTTCTTTTGGGCACTGAATAAGAGCAAAGTGTCTGTCATTATCCTTTTCACTTCTCCTCCGTGG